CACACACACACACACACACACACACACACACACACACACACACACACACATGCAAAGATTATCATTACTTTGAGACAACATTAAGTTGAGTGTTGTTTGGACTCAGTGCCTGCTGAGAGAATTTGTGGATCTTTCAAAAACCTTGGTTCTCGTCCAGAACGACGAAGCCGCTGCTTGTAGTTCGTCTGGTTTTACTGAAGTCCATCCAGGAACGGATCTCTTCTTCTAAAGTTCCCCCAAACGTGTTAATTTGACAGAACTGCAGTCCAAGTGAGTCAAGTCAGCTCATTTATCATTTATCCAACGGTTTGAACTTTAGATGTCTAATCAAAGGCTCAGAAATGTCTGACCTGCTGACAGAGCAGGTGGCTCAGCTGCTGGACTGCAGCATAGGAACAAGTAAATTATGATGCAGCTGATTTCAAACATGCTCAGGCGTTAAGATAAAACCTAGGAACTCTTTATGCAAGTTTTACATTACATTTAATATGTCCCTTGAGGTGTCCCTCCTTACACTGGCTTGCAGTGGCGTGTCTCTATTTTAAAGACTAAAACTAAAAAGTTTGCTTTAAGATTTGCTGAGTTGTTGTTGCGTAAGAGAGCACCTTTATCTGTACAACACAATAAATTTAGTCACCATCAGAACTAAAATACATTAAGTGATAAACAAAACACACATTGTGAATGTGAAAGAATCTAACTCTGATTCTTTCTTACTGTTCTGCTGCTTGGTCTTTTATAGATCGAGTGGGAGGCCTCCACCGAGCAGAAACGAGAGTGCGTGCTCAAGGGAAAAGATGATAAGGTAGGCATTTATTCTTTCTTTCAGTCTCAGCTCTTTACTTCTTTTGTTCAATGTCTTTCTCTTACAGTCACGGCAAAAGTTAAGCTAACTGTTTTTCAGATTGTTTTCTTATTCTTCTGGTCTTTACTAGGTGAGATAAACAGCAAAACATGGCACATTTATTCACTCCAGTTTTTTAAAAAAAACTGAGCCGATATGAATAATTATGCAAACACTTCGAAAGCTTCTGTAGAAATTAGGAGGTTAAGTAGCAGCCAGGTGCTGCTAATCAAATTAGCCAGATAAACTGATTATGTGCAGGTGCAAAACAGCTGAGGTTTTTTGTAGTTTGTTGTGGTAAAACATGAGTTAACACAATGAAAACCCTGGCAAAGCTAAAATACAATTTAATGTGTTGGATTACGTATATGTTATTTATTTCCTAATTTAATCAAGCATATTTTCCTCTTCCTGTTTCAGACGGAGTGCTTTAATCACATCCGCCTCCTCCAAAGATTTAACTCCACTCATCTCTACATGTGTGGGACTCATGCCTTCAAACCCCTCTGTGCATATATAGTATGTCCACAAATACATTTTCATTTTGAGTAGCAGTGTAAGTGCAGCGTGTTTAGAGGGGTTTTGTGTTTTTGTTTTCTGCACAGGATGAGAAGAAGTTTGTTATGTCATCTCAGCCTGAAGAAGGTAGAGACAGATGTCCTTATGGGCCAACAACTGGTTACACTGCTCTTATTATAGGTAAGCTGCCTAGAAATATTTATTTTTAAAGGGGGGGGGGGGGTCGTGTATTTTCCAGGCACATAGTTCAATTCTATACCACAATCAAGTAACTATGTTACCTTCAGTTGTTATGAAATTGGCCTCTGTCTCTTTGAGAACCTCCTACCGTTTCTGACACTCCCACTTCGTCACATATTCACAACAACGCTTCATGTCATTTACAACCTTTCGTAGGGGCGATGTATTTTGTTGTAAAAAAAAAAGAAACAACATTATATAATATTGGTTTTGGAAAATGGCAACTCAGGATACAGTTGACCCTTACTCAAATGATCCCACGTCAGACACGGAAAGTATGTTTTCTGAACAAACAGAGTGAATAGAGTCTCTTATAAGAAGTTTCAGCTTGGTAATACATCCCCCAGTCATCCTGTCATACATACTGTATACATCAAAGTTAAGCTACTTTTTGTGAAGAAACTATAAATATAGATCTTTATGAAAATAAGTTTTGCAATAAAATCAGTGATTTGTAAAGAAATATTTTTCCTGCCGCTAGTCTGGTGGTGCTCTGTGGGGCGGGAGCTCCTCCAGGGAGGAGCTTTGGGTAAATAGGCGGTGCTTTGTATCAGCAACAGTTTCAGCAGCTCCAAATAGCTACCATAGGAAATTCGATAATTTTTCAACCATGCATGAATGAGTCAAAGCAACACTCAGTATGTTTTTGATGATAAAAAGCTTTAAAATATCGATTTTGCACGACACCCCCTCTTTAAATTTAAGTGCCCAGTGTTTTGTTTTTGTCCCCATCAGACCAGCAGATATACACAGCTTCCCAGTATGAGTTCTGGAGATTCCCAGATATTCGACGTAACTCTCCGTCTCCCTCCCTGAGGACGGAGGACGCTCCCACACGGTGGCTGAACGGTGAGATATCGTTCTGAGGCTGCGAGCACTTCGGCACATTTTATCACTTTTTTTTAATCCACCGAAATCACAACACGTCTCGGTTCATCTCTCCGGCCTTGCAGAGGCAGACTTCGTGGGTTCAGCTCTGGTGAGGGAGAGTTTGGGCAGCAGCGCCGGCGACGACGATAAAATCTACTTCTTCTTCACCGAGAAGAGCCAAGAGCAGAGCACGACTTACAGCCACAGCCGGGTGGCACGAGTGGGCCGCATCTGTAAGGTGAGCGCAGATTACACGGGCGACGCCTTCCGTCAGGTCAGCTCGTGTGATGCCTTTCGTTATCGTAACAAATGAGAGTCTGGATGGGAGATAAATGTGGAGCACAACCTTGATGTAATTAAAGGAGCGCACCGTGTGGCTGGTGAATTGATTGCAGAGTCAGTGGTGCTTACAGAGAGAGAGGATGGCTACAGTGTGACAGATTGTTTAGCATCTTTTGCTGCCTGACACTTGAATGATTACCACCCCCCCACCACCACCCCCCAACCCACCCCGAAGGAATTATGACTAGCAAGAGCCAGCTGTACGCTGATATAACCTTGTTTGCGTCCTTCGCTGTTTTAAAGTGAAAAGTGCTCACAATCTGTCTCTGAGAAGCTAGAGAAATGTGTCTTTTTTGGATTTTAATAAGACGCCTTGAGATGTCGGTTGTGACGTCCGCTGTTTGTCACTAAAAAAACCCCAAAATACAAAATTCTTGTTGACATGAATGGATGAGCTGTCACATCTCACACTTACAGTGGTGAATCATTTCGGCAAGAGGCTATAATTCTGTTTTAATATGTTGTATTTTTCTCTTCTTACTTTCATTCATCTGTTTTGCTCTTCAGTAGATACTTTTTCTCTGCTGTGTCACCTTTGCCTGAGAGTTTTATTCTGTTTTTTTTTATTATTTCCTGCCACAAAGGCAAAGGTGAATAATGTGTGTGTGTGTGACTATCTGCAACCCAAACATCTCATGAATCACTGAAGAACTTTAATGAAACTTTCTGAAAGTAGTCTTTGGATGTACACCTGCAACAGATTAAATTTTTGGAGTCCATCCAATCACGATGGCGGCCAAACTAATCGACCTCAGCCACAAAAATGTCTTTAACTCAGTCAGTTTTACAGATCTTAAGATCAAATTTGATGTGGGAGTAGCTGAGAGTCCCTCCTAACATACTCTGAGCTTCATATCTTGTGATATTGCAAACAGTTACTTTCAGGGTTTGCCCAAAACTGTGATTATCAACTGGTGGCCCGTGGGCCACATTGAGTTTGTTGAATGGGGGTTGTTCTGGTCAGTGTGGGTGACATTATAAAGCTAAAAATCTACAATGAATTTTAACTTTTTTGTTTGTTTGTTTTTTGTGTGTTTTGTCCATTTTAGGACAAAAGAAAATACCGTATCCAATATAGTTTATATCAAATTTAATTAAACTACAACTGAACTATGCAGGCATATTCATATATACTGTAC